GCAGTTGCTGTCATGACGGCACATCATCTTGGTCCATTCGTCTCAATGAAGCTAGTAGTAGACGTCCATGGGTGACGAATTCCCGTCATATCAGAGGCTGATCAGGCACCTCGTGGAATGACTTCCGTGGTCTCCCATCGTCGAACTTTTAGCATTCCTACTATCTTCTTCTTCGTTCCCGGGCTACCCAGCAGCTACCATCGAATCATGCTGTATAGTCAAACGGTCCTTGGTTTGCCCATGTCGCCTCCACCTATTTTGTTGTGACATGGTGGAGGCGCCTAAGCTTCTTTCCTTGAGTCTCATTCCTCATAATGGACTCATCAATTTTTTTTTTGCATTCATCGATTAATTTCAATTTTATATTTCATACAAAGGCACTAGTAAAAAGGGTTACTTGAAAGTAATTATAGCAGCATGAATTATGGGTGATAACAAAGTAAGAAAGTCATTTAAATTATAAATCCTAAATGTTTTCAATATTTTGAATACCATTGAGCTTGAAAAGTTGAACAACCATTCCATTTCTATTCAAAGACATGATATAAAGCACCGGACCAGACTCACAAAGTTTGGAGCTTATCTCTGAACTTTGTTATTTTTTTTTCTCTACTCGTAATTTTCTATTTTAATTTGGGAACAAGTTTTTCCTATATCTCATTCTTGCCAGTTTTTTATTTCTCATATCAAGATGATTTCAAATATTTTTATTTTTAGTTGATAAAATCATTCAAGAAATGCAATGCCAATGCCATGAACACTCAATTGAGAATATAATAAGTCATTCACAACGTGCCTATAGTTTTATAACAATACGAAATGAAAACAATAATAACAAATCATCGTGCTAGATATAATTCATAATAAATTTAAATATTAGTGCGAATGCAAATAATTAATGATTCAAGTAATATTTGAGAATGTTTCGATTCAAAATATCTTAGTCAGTATAATTATGACCTTTCAAATATTGAAAATACTCTTAAACATTGGTATCGTTTACCATTTTTTGTCATTCCTCCTGAAATGAATTATACGCAAATATGATATCATTATGTTATGGAAATATGATATGAAATGAATAAATTGAGCTCAAGAATAATGAAGTATATGTAAACTCTCAATAAAGAGATTGTTACTTGGTTACAAGTGTTAACCGTTTCCGTACAGAATAATCACAGCGTCTCCCGTGGTCCTAGCCAAACCACATTCAAAGAAGTAGCTGTTTGGTTGATATTTTAAAAAGTATGAAGTGTTATAGCTGGAATTATGCACTATAACAGTAAATAGGAGGGAATCCTGGAAGATGTGCCACACTAAGGCACGAAGGATTAACCTTACTGAAGATATTTTGTCCTCGAATTGATAGGACATGAAATGATGATTCAATGTGAAATAATGAGCTCGTATATGATGATTATATATATTTATGAATTATGGAGATGATTATAATGATATTTACCCCCGGGGAAGATTTTCCGAAAATGGAAAATATTTGCGAGTTGTTAGACAAAGAAATGTACGGTCTAGATCTAACAAAGTTGGAGGAATGAGCATGCGGTATTTAACAGGAGTATTTTCAATCAGTTCAATAATGTATAAGTGATAAAATATCTCAACATATTTTTCAATTTTCATATAATAAACTATCTTACTACTTGAATTCATCGAAACATGGTGAATAGGGGAATTAAATTTTTTTAAATTGAATAAACGCCAATATATTCGTTGAACCGGTTAAACCAAAGATAAATAAATAAATCGAATAAAGTTCTGATAATATTTCATATTGAACAAAAAATAATCACAAGGGCACTTGAGTCAAAATATTGCTCAAAGTACATGAAAGTACCAATTCTCGGACGGTTCATCAGTTTATTCAAGCTGCCAATAATGAGTTGTCAGATGAATATCCTTTTAAATCTTACGGATTGGACCTGGAATGTCAAAAATGGTCAATATGTATGAAATAACATGATAACAGTTTTGATTAACTTTTTATCAAAAAGGTAATTTTTTTTAATGAAATTTTTCAATGAAAAGGCACGTTGGTTTGTTCACATGACTCTTATTATTTTTTAACCATAATTTCAATTTACCTGTTTATATGAATGATTTTCAATTGGCAATATTGGCAATTCACTTCAATCTCGATCTCGAGATATATTACTTATTACAGAAAATGCATTCGAATCCATTGACTCATTGAATGGAATGGGAACCTATCGGGAAATGTTTCATAATTATGAAACATTTGGCACACATATATAAATATTTAAGTAGATAACTCATAATTTTTCTTGTGTCGTCATTTATTCAATCAACTATTTCTTTTTTTTTTTTAAATTAAGAAACTATTTGCAATATTTTTTTTTTCGAAATGAAAGACGACGTTGAAATTTCCCTAAAATTAATGATAACTTTTTTGCAATACTTATACATTTTAATATTGCTATTAGTGAAAACAAACTCTTTATTATGATGATGATATAATCATGAACTTGACACTTCGTTCACGTTACTTTGTGTTAGTTAGTATAATATTGTTTATTTTAATCATGCCATGAGAAACTCGAGAAAGCACGTCGATATGTTTTTACAATTAAATGGAATAATAGAAATTTTAAGAAATTGAATAGTATAATGATTTTAACCAAAAACATTCATAATTAATAAGTAATAATTAACTCTAGAACTATAGTCTGTAAATTTGGAATCATCAGGAATTGATGGTATACTAAAACAAATAAAATAGGAAATTCATGATGTTTAAAAGAGGTAGACAGCGGATCCCAGCATAGGTTAAACATTTATTGAATTATATATAATAGTTTTCACTTATTGTGCGAAACACTTCAAGTTATTCGTATGATAATATATAGGCTTATGTAAGGACTACTTAGCCCATTGTAAATAGTTATCTACTGGATATATTCTCTTTTTCACATGTTCCAACGAAACCACACAAAACAATGCACCCACACTGAGCACGGTAAAACAGCACGCATAATCGAATCAGACACCCAGGGGGATGCAGCCATGCAGCTAAATGGCCAAACATGGACAAACCAAGGACTGTTTGACTGACTCGATGGTAGCTGGGTAGCCCAGGAACGAAGAGGAGATAAGTAGGAATGCTACAAATTGTCGATAGCACCTAGAAGTTTGACGTTGGGAGACCACGAAATTCATTCCACGAGATTCCTGATCAGCCTCTGATATGACGGGAATTCGTCGTTGCCACCCATGGACGTCTACTAGCTGCATTGAGACGAATGGACCAAGATGTTGTGCCGTCATGACAGCAACTGCCCATCAGTCGTCATTCGCTACCCCAAGCAGTCAGCAGTTCCTTCCGTTCAGCTGCCAACTACCTCAAATGACAGTCTAGAAAATCTTAAAGCCCAAAAGATTTCATCTCGATGCCCAGGACAAGGATACCTTCGAGCCCAAAAGGATCCTGCCGAAATTCCCATGACGATTGGAGGATGCCATGCCCAATCGTCATTCCCTACCCCCAAGCTGCCAGGAGTCTCACCGAGAAGAGTCTGATTGAAATGCTTTTGTTGAATAGCCAGTGCCGGACTTAGTAAAGGTGTGAGTGTGCATTGTAGACACTAAATTTTGAATGTTTGTGAATAGTTTTTTTTTCTGGATTTGTTTGTATATGTAAATGAAATTTAAATGTTCTCCTCGATATATTTAAGTTAGGTATTAATTTAAAAACTGGGGTCCAGTTTTCTCGGAGAGAGGGGTCATGTCACGAGTAGAACATTCAGTATATTAGTAATTTGTAACCATGAGGGTTTTATAAACATAAAAATATTGAAATCATCAATCGACATTGAACTATGAAAACTGACCAAGGAACTCTCATGAGAAACGTGCAAATCTAATAAAATGATGTATATAAATATTGGATATGAGGGTTGCGAAGTTAGTCTGGTCTGGGGCTACTCTTGACTTGACAAGAGCTCGTCGTATGGTCGTTATAATGTAAGTTATTGTTATTAGGTCTTTATATTCATTGTTGTTGATTCATATTTGTCATTGCTACCCATAATGTTTCATGCTGCAATAAATATTGTTATGTTTGAATATATTCTCATACTTTCAGTTACCCCTAAAGTATTAGTGCCTATTTGAATATTACCTCTCGCAAACTATTAAGCCAAGCATATACCCCTTTATAAATCGATATGGATGGACTTCCCCAACTCTTTTGTTGTGACATGGCGCCAACCATTTTGTTGTGACAATATGGTTAACCCTCATGACTTTTGTAAATTGAAATTAGATCCAATATTATTCATCTCTTTCATAATGTACATTTCACAGTATCTGATTTTCAAAGATTCATTTTTGAACTCTCATAGCTGCTTACAATAAACTCAAACATTGCTTACAGAACACATTCAACTATTTCTTGATTACTTCTCTACATGGTGTTTAACGGTGCATGGAACATTAGAAGTATCTGAGGGCGTTGATAATCAAGCATATTTTATCTGTCTGAAATATTTTCCTCAATATCAGAACGTAGTAGCTACTTTGTTATTTCAAATTGAACACCCGCATATATAATGCCATATTTGGAATGCTGAGATTCCTCAACTGTTACAGATAGGTATAAGGAGTTATCAGGAAAAGTTATGAGGAATCTCATGAGGATTCCAAGAACGATATAATTTAAGGGGTGTTCCATTTGATATAACAAAGTAGCTACTACTTTCTGATATAAGCGGCAATACTGTATTGATGAAAATATTTTAGACGGATAGAGCATGCTTGATTATAAAAACCTACAAATTTTCGAAATTTGTCGTTTGGTTCCCCAGATACTTCTAATGTTCCATCCACCGTGAAACACCTTGTATATTTATACAAGATATTATTGATTTCAGTGACATGTTAGGAAATTCTCAATACAACAATAATGAATTGTTTAGAAATGATCTTGCTCATGATTTTCATTCAATGTTCAGAATCTGATTTTTCAGACGGGATATACTCAAAGGACTAGACAAAGACTTGAATGAGGAGTTAGATTACATTGAAACTGTCATCTTGAAACAGACCAAGAACTATCAAGTGTGGCATCATCGTAAAGTCATAGTAGAATGGCTTAAAGATCCGTCTAAAGAAAAGTATTTAACTGAAGCTGTACTAACCAAAGATGCTAAAAACTATCATGCTTGGCAACATAGACAATGGGTTATCAAAACCTTCAAGTAAGTACATATACTCAGTATTGGACTACTACAGTGAATCTGAAGTATATCTATAAGTATAGTATAATTTTCTGTACAATTTAGTTTTGGAGAAAATCTGGTCCGTTCATCATTTTTTATCATTAAACTAGCAATTTCTTTTTTAAATTATATATTACCAATATTTGACAGATATAAAATATTGTGTGGTATTAACCAGGATAGTAGGTGTTTTCTGTCTGATATTTCAACAATGATTTTCTTATTTATCAAAAAAACTCCCAACCCAGGGTTTGAACTATGGGAAACAGTGAATATCTTTCTCACATAAAAGATTAACAATTGATCTGTCTGATATTTCAACAATGATTTTCTTGTTTATCAAAAAAACTCCCAACCCAGGGTTTGAACGATGGGAAACAGTGAATATCTTTCTCACATAAAAGATTAACAATTGATCGCAATCTGATATTCAATATGTATACATACAAATATCTGCACATCAAAGTAAATTCTACATTTTAAAAATGTTAAACATCTTTAGCGTCAAAAACGTCAAACTCATAGATACATTTCGCATATTATCGTTTTCATTAAAAAATGTGCCTTGGTTCCCTATAAGAAAATTGTCAAGTATATTTTTTATTATGAACCTATTGAACTCTGCTAAGTGAGTTACCAGTTAAATATTTGTTGTAGGTATTTATAGCCAGGAAAAGGTTGTATATGAACTTTATAATATTTTTTCTACTCACATAACTAAAATGGTATTTAGCGTACGGTTATGTACCACGGTAAATGATCGATTAATCACGGATTGTCGATCTGTGATTCATTCAAAATATTGAACAGGTTACTGTCAATTGTATTAACTGTCAACTGTTATTTTCAAATTTTGTATCAGAATTATTCAAACAATATTCATTTGTATCAGAATTCTTAATTAAAAATATATGTTAAATGTAGACGAAAGTGAAATAGAAGAGAATGTTCTGGTACTTGCATAACTCCAAGAAGTGTAAAAGTGAAGCATCCATCTTTGAGAACAATCTATTCATTCTGCGCTAAGCATGACAATAAACGTGAAACAATGGTTAGTAAGCAATGAACTGGACACATCAACAACCAATATCACTTATACGTGTCTCGCTGGTTGCACGCAGTTGCATGTATTATGTTCTCACTTCCCATTCTTTTCGAATTATTTTGTAGGTTAGTAGGAAAAGCAGGTATGTTAATGTAATTTTCGGAGTTCCTAGAAAAAGCATAGTATGTAACGCGTTTATAAACTGTTCTAGACACTCGTTTATTGAACACTCGCTCCGCTCGTTCTTAAAATACTCGTTACTAAAAGGACGTTTATAACACTTGTTACATAATATACTATAATATATGTATATGAAAAACTGCCATGGGTCTGGACTTTTCACTATTGTGAAAAATTTGATTGAATCAAATTACGAATAGGAATTTACAAAAACCGAGAACAAGACTAGAATTGTCATGAAATAGTATATTGTTTAACGAGCATGGAATGATAGTGATTTCCTACGTGATTAGAGTTTGTAGTTTGAGCCGTAGGGAATTAGCATTTTCGTGCGAGTTATACACTATACTTTTTCTACGGCTGTAACAGATAATAGCGACATGATTTTTTTTGGCTTGTAGCCATCTGATTTTCTCTTGAGTAATGCTCTAGTAAACAGAGCTGTAATTGCTTGATATTCGACATTTCATGGGAGATGACATTCATTGTGAAAAAATATAATAATGAAGTAATTGTGCTATCAGATAAGGGAATGAAATTGAAGACATACAATGTAAAACAAGTACAGTTTTGTGGTATAGCGGTAGAAAATAGTGTTATTCTGAGAGAATAAAACTGGTTGTCTTATTCTTACTGATTTCTTGATGTCAAATCGAGGCAAAGTAGCGCAATTTGGTGCTCATTGAAACGCAACTGAAATTTGACAAATTCCGAACACTCCCGAATACTTTTGAAAAAAAAAAAAAAAAACGAATATTTGCGATTTCATTTTTATTTTTTCATGACTCTATTTGAATAGATGTAACAAAACAAATTATGTATTCTCATTGCTACTTGAGATACCATCATCAACTTTGTATTTTATATACGGCCCTGGATTTTTTATTATGAATTTTAAGAACTTTCTCCTAAAATCAACGGTGTATCGCACTTAATCAAAGAAGGTGTTTGTTTTTCATCATAAAATTCTATTATCTGTCTCTCTCTAACTCATTCCTATTAGGGTCACCTGATGGAAATTGACGTTAAAGTCATCTTAACAGGGTACGGACAGATCATAGCTGCATTCTTTTTTAATCATCTAGAGATTTTAGTTTTGTCTACTGGTATCCCTGACATTGCTGTCACGCCACATCCATGGCTATATTCCGAATTCAACTGACAGTACTGAATCTGCTGAATTTGCATTCCGAAATCAAAAAAATTGACTGAAAGTGACAGATACTCGTGAGCAAATATACTATTCATTCCAAATATTTCGATTCAACATTCTGCTGAAATTGCTGACTATCAAAAGGTAGTGTGGATTCAGTGAACTGTCATTATTTTTGAGGGGAAAGGAATGACACGTTCATTTCCGTTTTTTTTCAAACATTAAGTCTTGGCTTATCACTAATAAATTAATAAGATCATTTTGATATCAGAAAATGCCTGTTATTTATTTAGCTCAAGCAGGAGCATCTGCCAGATCAATGACAAGTGACAAATTTCACCAGCTGATCAACTGCTGCTGATTACTGATGAAAACGTGTTCCGAATTACAGCACTGTATTTTTGATTTTTTATTTCGGAACACAGCTTTTCAGCAGAGTCAGTGGATCTACTGACAGTACTGACCAGTTGAATTCGGAATATAGCCCATAAGCGCTCCAGAAAATCATTCAAAATTTTAATAACAGGTATGTACAGGGTATTTACTTGTTCAGGAAGATCATATGGCGAACGAGTTTTGTAAATATGATCCGATCCTATTCAAAATTGGAAGGTATGTGGGTTTTTCCGGGGTTGGAGATGATGATTGTTTCGTCAAACTTGGAAAATTCAAGATGACGGATCCAATATATAGCAAAAGAAATTTCTAATTATGATCTGATTCTATTTAAGATTGGTATCTGAGGGTTTTCGTGGTCGAACTTTATGATTCTTTGTCAAAATTGGGAATTGCAAGATAACGGATCCAATATGGCGAACGAAACTTGTAATTATGATCCGTTTATATTCAAAATATCAAAATTGGTATCTAGGGATTTCCGGGGTTGAAGATTATAATTATTTTGTCGAAATTGGGATATTCAAGATAGCGGATCCAATATGGTGGACGAGTTTTGTAATGAAGATCCGATTTTATTCAAAATTGGTATCTAGAGGTTTTCGGGGTAGGAGATAATGATTGTTTCGTCAAAATTGAAAAATTCAATATGACAGATCCAATATGGCGAAAGACATTAGTTCATTTAATTATTACTCTACCACAAATAGAAAATATCTAGGATGCAAGAGTGAAAATAACGTGCCTATAACTTATACTGCGTATTCTTAGCGTATACCTACTTCTTTGTTACTTTCATCAATAAATTATTCGAAAATGACTTTTTATTTAAAAGAGACGGAAAAATCATTTGCATAACATGGAGGTGAAGTATATTCTATTCTTTATTTTCCTGCACATTTTACGTATTAATTTTTATCATTCTACTTTTCGTCCTCGACTCCATAAATTCTTCTCCGAATTGGATTTCTGAAAATATATTTAGCACACATGTCATGAGTACAGTAGTCTAGATACCCACATCGAGATTTCCACCATTTCTCAATCATAAGGTTCAGCTCATTCACCTCATAGATAAACTACTGCTCAGCTTGAAATCAAAATTCATTCAGTCGATTCAGTCAACCCTGGTATACAGTCTAAGAACAGTTTCTTTTGGTGAAAAATATTGAGCTTTCAGTACAATTTATATGTTTCCTGAATCTCAAAGATTATGCTGAAGTAGTAAACTCTAAAACTAAAGGAGTGTTTATCTATCTCTTGGTATAGTTGAATCAGGAATTCCATATGGAAATTACGTATGATACACCAGTGACCTCAATATAACCTTAAAAACAAAGAATGTCAAAAATCTAGTGTTTATCCCCAGAATTGAATACGGATGGAACTATATAACTGTTTCACGAACACTTTAGAGTGAGAGGAGACGAGGATCTGTCCGTACCCTGTTAAGATGACTTTAACGTCAATTTCCATCAAGGGACCCTAATTCCTATAGAAAATGTCATTAATCTGAATTTTTCCAGTTCCATACACTTTTGATTATAGGATATCAAATGCTCTTGAAATCCATAATAAAAATCCAGGGCTGTATTTAAAAAAAAACAAAGTTGATGATAGCAGCCCAACGACTCGACGTCGATTTAAAAATCTGAAAACACCATCTTGTAGAACAGAAAAAGTTGCAATGAGAATGCGTAATTTGTTTTGTTACATCTATTCAATTCGTCATAAAAAAATGTAAATGGAATCGCGAACATTCCGTTTTTTTTTTCAAAAATCTTCGGGTGGAATCGGATTTTTTCAAATTTCAAAGTGACAAAGCACCAAATTGCGTAAAGTTGTCTCAATTTGACCTATCTCGTATCTCCTGTACTTTTCCAGGTCCCAATAATGAGGCTCGAAGCTGGAACACTTATGAAATAACATTCAAAATCACTGCTGGCAAAACATCCCTCAACTCGATTTTTCAGTCATAGTTTTACTCCATATTACTACTGAAGTACTTGCAATCACTGAGATAGATTTTGTTCTTTTTGCAGATTGTTCGATGGGGAGCTAGATTATGTTGACTGCTTGATAACTGATGATGTCAGGAATAATTCTGCTTGGAATCAAAGATATTTCATTATAAATAACACAACTGGATTCACAGAAGAAGTACTCAAAAGGGAAATTGACTATACACTGTTACACATTAAAATTGTTACAGAAAATGAGAGTGCCTGGAATTATTTGAGAGGGTATGTAAAATTCTGAAAATACACAGCATAGTTTGAAGATAACCCAACTGATGGTAGAATTACATAAACGCAATATTCAAGAGTATTTTGTAGAATTTGTATAATGTCTATTAAATACAAGGGTAAGGTATTTTGTGCAGCAACTATTATCAAATCGATTGTCACATTTTGTGTCACTGTCAGGTACTTAGTTTCAAAAACCAATGATCCAATGATTTGATTTTGCTCAATTTTTTTAAATATTCTTTACCAGTTTTTTGGTCTAATAGTGCCGCTGATTCCAGTGTCAAATGTGGAACTTTGACAGTTAATCTCTCAGTGTTGCCAACTCGGCCATTTCATGGTTAGTTCTAGCCATGACAGCTATTAAAATAAAGCATCTTGTCATCAGCCATTTTTTCTAGGTATATATTAATTCTCAACTCCTAAACACCAAGAAATAATGAGAAGAATTCAGGCGTTGTATGCACCTATGTGATATCTTTGTCATGAAAGTCAGTCATAGGACTCAAAGGAAGAAAAATGCAAAGAAATATGAAGTGCTTGATTTTTTTCGTGAGAATCTGTATGTATTATTTAAAGAAATTAGTTTGTTTTATTGAACTTTTCAACTCAGTTCCCTGATTATGCCATTCACTTTCAGATCAGATTTTCTAGAGTTTGGAAACGCATTTTCGCCTAAGAAGTACCAAATATTTTTATGAAATGGCTAGATTTGAAACAAAAATGGTTCTACAAAATAGGAATATTATTTTATGAACTGAAATTTTCAACAGTGGCCAGCTTTACTAGAAAATGGATGAAAAAACTTTTTTTTTCTGTGACGGGAAAAAAGTTTGGCATTTCATTTCTGTGGATAGGTTACAAAATGTCACTTCATAATATTACGTTTTCCCCATGATTTTAATATATTATGTATTGTGATATTTCTTCAATATCTAATCGTCGTTTTTATTATGCACGGAAAAAATATTAGATTTTAGACTGGAGCTAAATTGTAATACTTTTTTACCTTGTATAATTAATAACTATTTCGACATTTCTAGCAACTTTTGGAGGGTTATTTTTTCTTTGCATCTCACGCGTTGGCAGCACTGGCCAACCGCACCATACAAAATGCCTCACCTTTGTGAACATTATTAATTTTGGTCCCTTCTCTTTTCCAGGATGATTCACCACAAATACCCCCCCCCTCTAGCTCAATTATTCTTGGAACCGAATTCAAAATTTGAAAAATCATCTGAAATGATTTTTCAGAATTCTTTTATCTGCTACATCAGAAAAGACAGGGTGGTCGGAACAAACGATCTACAGCATACTATTAGATTTTTTTCAAATGGGACACTATATTTCATTCCATTTTCAGATTCTCCCTGAAGAGCTGATTTCATCAATATATCACACTTGCGGATCAAGTTGTTGGAGTTATATAATTTCAATATACCAAACGACAGAACATTGAGAAATGCTAACCTATTTAGAATGTCAATATACCAAACGACAGAACATTGAGAAATGCTAACCTATTTAGAATGTCATATTTCATGACATATTTCATAGGTCTTTCAATAGTTTCAAAACACTTGTTAAATCTGTACTTTAAAACATAGAGCCCTCTCATAAGTTAGATTCATTATATGGATTCAAGACTAGTATTAATAATATTTACGTCGTTTCCCATAAATGCATGAATAATGAATAAATAAAGGGGGGGGGGGTATTTATGGTGAATCACCCTGCACTTCGGGATTCTATTCTATTCATAGGTAGAGTTTAGTGTGACAAGATCCTACAAAAAAAGAATCACCAGACGATGTTTTATGTGTGGAGTTTGAATCATTCATCATCCCTCGTTCAATTCGTTTTCTAGGCTCCTGCTTCATGCCAAGGAAGGGCTGAGCAAAAACAAAAGGGTGTCGGACTTTTGCGAAGAGCTCTACGCATCAGGCAACCGGTCTCCATTCCTTCTGGCCGTCATCGTCGACATGTGTTGCGAAGTGGCCTCTGACGGGGCTGGAGACACCAGATATACCGTCGAGAGAGCCAAAGAACTGTGCGGCGAGCTCATGACCAAGTACGACAAGGTCAGAGCCAACTATTGGCAGCACATGATCGAAACGATGGATAATGTGGGAAAAAAGGGTACAGAAGATGAAGGAAGTAGTGTGAATTGAGAAATGTGATTTGGGTCAGTACTTTGATGTGGAAATTTTTTATACTGCCAGAGTTATTATGGCTGAAAGCTTGATTTGCTTTGGATAGATGGCAGACACAGATTTTATTTTGTGTTTAAACAGATTGGCAATCTAGGTGATTTATTTTAAGTTTATCAAAGTTGAAGAACTAGTCAAACTCAAAGTGTTACAAGGATATTCCAATTCGTTGCTCGTTAATTGGTATATCAAGAACCACAAAGTTGAACAAAGAGTGAGTTTCATGCTATTATATTGAAAGAAAATTTTATTTTTTATTTTCGCGCAAAAAATATATTTCTCTAGTCTAGAGGATCAATAATGTAGAAAATATAATAAAAAAATTAATTCACCAGTTTTCATATTTAATGTAAACAATGATAAAATGCCTATTCTTTCAATTCAACGTTTTGTTAACATTATTCCATTTACAAACGTGCACCTCTTTTATCTTTAGGCTGGAAAGTAATTTTTACAATTACAATTTGGTAAATGGTCTTTAATGTGACTACTTCGAATTACTGCCAATTTGTAATGGACTGTTTGAAACATATACCTATATCACCATTGGAAAGGCCGTAGATCTTTCGAAGAACTTTTCAAAATTATCTCACTTAAAGCAGCAAAAAGTTTTCAAATTCTTACCTATTACTATCTCTTGTGGTTCTTGTTATTCCGATGATGAACGAAGAATTGATCATCTGGTATACTTACTTTAGGTACTTGCAAAAACGGTATACCAGGTTATCCTAGGGTCCCTTGATGGAAATTGACGTTAAAGTCATCTTAACAGGGTACGGACAGATCCTCGTCTTCTCTCACTCTAAAGTGTTTGTGAAACAGTGATATAGTTCCATCCTTATTCAATTCTGGGGATAAACACTAGATTTTTGACATTCGTTGTTTTTTAGGTTATATTGAGGTTATTGGCGTATCATACGTAATGAACAGTCCTCTAGATTTAGAGTTTACTACTCCACCATAATCTTTGCGAGGTAGGGAACATATAAATTGTACTGAAAGCTCAATATATTTCACTAAAAGAGACTGTTCTTAGACTGTATACTAGGGTTGACTGAAGTTCCATCCTTATTCAATTCTGGGGATAAACACTAGATTTTTGACATTCGTTGTTTTTTAGGTTATATTGAGGTTATTGGCGTATCATACGTTAATGAGCAGTCCTCTAGATTTAGAGTTTACTACTCCACCATAATCTTTGCGAGGTAGGGAACATATAAATTGTACTGAAAGCTTAATATATTTCACTAAAAGAGACTGTTCTTAGACTGTATACTAGGGTTGACTGAATTGACTGAATGCATTCTGATTTCAAGCTGAGCAGTAGTTTATCTATGAGCTGAGCCTTATGATTGAGAAATGGTGGAAACCTAAACTACTGTACTCATGTCATGTGTGCTAAATATATTTTCGGAAATTCGACTCGGAGATGAATTTATTGATTGATTGATTGTCTTTATTACCCCAAGAAACATTATTGTTTATAATAGAGATATATACAACAAAACATACATATTATAAAACATAATAAATCGAAACAATAATAATAATGGAGTGACTAACATCACAATATATATAAAACTTCGCCTAGGACGAAAAGTAAGCTGATAAAAAGTAATACGTAAAATGTGCAGTAAAATAAAGAATAGAATATACGTTACTCCCATGTTTTGCATATGATTTTTCCGACTCCCTCAACTAAAAAGTCATTTTCGAACAATTGATTGATGAAAGTAACAAACAAGTAGGTATACGCAGTATAACTTATAGTCACGTTATTTTCACTCTTGGCTCCTACATATTTTTTATTTGTGTTAGAGTAACAATTATATAAACTGATGTTTTACGCCATATTGGATTCGCCATCTTGAATATCCCAATTTTGACGAATTAATTATAATCTCCGACCCCGGAAATTCCCAGATACCAATTTTGATTTTTGAATAGAATCGGATCATAATTACAAAATTTGTTCGTCATATTGGATCCGCTATCTTGAATTTCTCAATTTTGTATAAAGTTCGACCCCCAAAACCCCCAGATACCAATCTTAAATTTTTCTTGTCTTTCGCTATACAGAGTCTGATCCACGGTGGCAGCGCTGAGAATATTTCAAGTCGATAGAACACAACTAATTATTCAAGGCTCCAACTTTTCAGAATAATCTGAAGTTGCGTTCTCCAGAAACGTTTAATGTGACATCCATCGTAAATCAGCCTGTATATCAGATCCGTCATCTTGAATTTTCCAAGATTGACGAAACAATCATTATCTCCAACCCCGGAAAATCCCAGATACCTTCCAATTTTGAATAGAATCGGATCATAATTACAAAACTCGTTCGCCATATGTTCTTCAACAAGTAAATATCCTGTACATACCTATATTGGGATTTTAACCATCATTTTCCCGCGCTGTCATTCTGTCAAAAATTACATGTTTTTGACGCCAAGTGTGATATGTCAAGATATTAATTTTGTCAGAACGAATCGGAAGATATGTTACTACCATATTCGGTTGTATAAACAAATGATCATATGATAATCAGTCACATAATTGAATGAACAATTATTATAAACTTCAATACTACTACCAAATAATCACACTTGATGATCACGTGATATATGCTGTCAGATGGCACATTGCTTAGCATTGAAACACAATTATTAAAATTTTGAATGATTTTCTGTAGCGCCCATGGATGTGACGTGACAGCAATGTCAGGGATGCCAGTAGACAGAACTTAAAGTCTCTAGATCATTAAAAAAGAATGCAGCTATGATCTGTCCGTACCCTGTTGAGATGACTTAACGTCAATTTCCATCAAGGTACCCTTGGTTATCCTAACTAAAGCGGGTAAATTACAAATTAACTTAATGTTATTAAACATTTTGTTTCATTTATTACAATTTTGATCGTTTTTATATAGGATCTCATGATTGTTTTGATACATTACAATTATCAAATCATAATAATTGTCACTTAAAATGCAGCGATTTGGTGTTTTGAAAATGTGATGTCTTGATGTTCACCTGAAATGTCTATTGATTTTTTGGTGTGTGGAATGAACTAATTGAGGTGTCTTGACCATATTTGTCTATATTACATTATTGAACATTCCTATGCGATTTTATATTTTCCAATAAAATTTTCATACACCATTTTTATGAGTATTATTGCTATACTGGGTGACAAATGCTTGGTATTGATACCAGTTATAACGTCTTTGTTAAAATTGAAACCTATATTTGTGATTTTTCACCAGGCAATTGGGAAAGACTGGTTTGCGACAGGACAATGTTGAAAATTAACACATTCGGTTGATTATGCCGAAAGCTCTAAATATTTTTGTGATATCTTTCCGCCGTCTTTCCAATAAAATCCAATGATGATATTATTATTTGTTTTTCTTTTAATTAGAAGGAGTGGTGGTGTAGCTTCAAGAAGACGGTTTCTTACTGACAATTATTATTATTAGTAGGTATAACAAAAAAACACTGTCAAGTAGTTACATAATAATCTACACACAAATAGAATATTTCGAATATCTAGCCTATATACATAAATATTATAAATCATGATACTTTGTACATTAAATAACAAATCATACATCTGATAAAATCATCATTCCCAGAAAGAAAATAAAATATTGTCATCATAATTAGAAAATTATATAAAAAGGGTGTATTTCTCATTCCAATAATTATTTTATAATGACAGTATGTACAGGGTGTCCCACTTAAATATGTCACCCCCCCCTGTATTATCGTAATTCTCAACATATTTTGGTAATTCAAAACCTTTTCTGGAATGATTTTTCACGAGTTTCTCGAATATGTGCTGACTTTTTCTTTATAACAACAAATACAGGGTGTCTCAGATACTTTTTTTTCTAATGAAATGATCTAAACTTTATTCGATAATAAATAATATGTGAATATAATGAAGAGTTAAACGTAGGGCCAGGTAGCCGTGCGGACAGAGTGTCTATATTCTAATTCTCATTCGCTTGCCGGTCGTGGGTTCGATTCCCATCAACTGCAGAAATTTTTCTGATGGCCCAAGAAAGTGTTTGGGATCACACGTTAAAAGGTAAGGCCCCCGTCATTCCTTGCTCGCACAAGACTTTCGAAGACTTCTGAGGGTTGCTCGTAAGGGGGCAACCGAATGACGGATATAGAACAATAGAACAGAACAATTCAGGGATGTCACCATGGAGGCAGATATGTCCACTATTTTTTTCTCAGTCATTCAAAACAGTCCCCTCAATATTCCTTTCATCATATATTTATTATAGTGTAGTGTAAAATTCAGATTGACGGGCTTCATCGAATCATGGAAATAAATAAGGATCAATTCAATTCATTTGAAAAATTTTTTTTTCCTGGGCCACCCTGTTTTTTGTTGATATAAAGAAAAAGTTAGCACAGATACGAAAAATTCGTGAAAAATAATTCCAGAAAAAATTTTCAAATGATCAAAATATCTTGAGTATTACGAGGATAAAGGGGGGGTGACATATTCAAGTGGGACACCCTGTACAGTGTGTCCGGTTTTAGATGCTTCTGCGGGATATCTGTTTTCTTTGAAGGTAGTGTTGCGGTTTTTTACATTACTGCCTCACTTTTTTGTTAAACGAAAGAGAGAAAATCTTTATTAGGGATATACCCCAAAAGGCAATGACCGAAGTCTTCAGCCCAGTTTACAAAATATAATATACAAAGTAGGAATAATAGTAATAATGATAATAATAGATCATTAAAAAAAGAAGAAGAATAGAAGTTAATTGCTTGCTATCCTGTTTGCTCCAGTTGTGGACCAGTCCTTGAAAAATAGTTATTTCTGGAAATTTTCTTTTTCTTATGAAATTTTCCGGCAGCAACTTGTGGACTGATTGTGAAACGAATAATGCCCCAAACAGCATTCTCACAGTCCTTCATGATTGTGAGATACAGGACGGA